GGCTGCCGCCCCCAGCGCCGGAGGTCGCGCCTGCCCTCACCTCRTCGTAGAGACTCGCGCCCTCGGGGGACTCGGCCGAGCTGCTCAGCGTAGGGCTGGCGGGCACTTTGGCGACGTTGTAGCGTCTCAGCAGCTGTGGCGGCTGTKGCCCGGGTGGCTGCAGGAGTTGCTGGTGCGGCGGCTCCTCGTCCTCCTCGTCCACCTCCTGCTTGATCCTCAGCTGCAGCTCGTCTTCGTCCTCGTCGTCTTCGTCGTCCTCATCTAGAAACACGCACTTGACCGTCTTGCCCGCGCCCGCACCGCCCGCGCCGCTCACGCGCAGGCTGCCCAGCACGTAGTCGTCGCCAGCGCTGCCGTAGTCCCCCGGCTGGGCCGCCTTGCCTGCTCCGGCCTTGGCGCCGGCGGCCGCGGGGGCCTTGAGCTTGCCGCATTTCTTGCTGGAGCCCTTGGAGGTCTTGGCGCCGCCCGCGCTGCCGCCCGCGCCACCGCCGCCGCCTCCCGCGGAGCTCTTCTCCGGGCTCTGGCTCGCGCTGGGCTTGGCCGAGGGGTCCATTTGGGGCTTTCTCCGGGGCCGGTACTTGTAGTCGGGGTAGTCGGCCATGTGCTTMAGCCGCAGCCGCTCCGCCTCCCGGATGAACGGGATCTTTTCGCTGTCCTTCAGCATTTTCCACCGTTTGCCCAGCCTCTTGGAGATCTCGGCGTTGTGCATGTCCGGAGACTGCTCCATGATCTTCCTGCGCTCGATCTTGGACCACACCATGAAAGCGTTCATCGGCCGCTTTATGTGGCCCGACGCCGTCTTGCACCAGTCCGGGTCGCTCTCATCCAGGGCCACCGGGCTGCAAGCCATGAATTCGCCCTCCTCTGTGTCCAGCGCCTCCCGGGGCAGGTTGCTTTCCGCTTCCAAGCTCTCCGCCTGCTGCACCATGATCCGCTGTGGAGCTGGGCGCTCAAACCCGGGCCACTCGGTCTCGTGCAGAGGTCCCCCTCCCCCTCCCACCCCTCCACCTTCCCGGGCAAGTTGCAAAGTCCTCGGCGCCCCGCGTCCGCGGCTCCCCCCCTCCCCCCCGTCCCCCCTTCCAGGCTGCACACAGCGGCTGCGGCGGCTTCGGCGGCGACGGCCGCCCGCTCGTTTGTAGCTGCGGCCGCGACCGGAGGGACAGTAGCGGTAGTGGCGGTGGCGGCGGCGGCGTTCGAGGCAGCCCGGGAYCCCTCTCTCCTGCTTGTGGCTCCCGCCGCAAGCGCCGGACCCTAGACACTCCCAATCGCGCGCGCTCCTTCTGCAAAAAGTTGAGGGCTCTCTCTCAACTAGTTATCAGGGTGTCATATGGGTGACATCACTCCCCGGCCCAGCCAATGGTTGGGAGCCGGCTCCGCCCATCTTCCTTTATTAACTCCGTGACTCCACCCCCTTTACCCCGCCCTCAGGGCTGGTTTGCAAAGATGGGGGCGGTGGGGTAGGAGGAGGCATGTCTAGAAATATGTTATTTTTAAAAAATCCGCGTGTGTGCACAGATGCACCTCTCCCCGGGATGCTCGCGAGCGTCGCACCGCACCGCGGAGAGCAGGCGGGTCTGGGGCGAAACAGGGCGCGAACAGAGGGTCTGAGGAAAGGCCCAGTGCCCCTTTGTGCCCACTCCACCCAAGGCCCGAGAGGGCAAGCCCACTGGGCCACCTCGCTCCCCGCGTGCATTCGGGCACGCGCCCAGTCTGGACAGAGGGTGCCCAGCTCCCCCGTGTGAGCGCAGCTGCTCCCCGGAGCGCCCCAGGGGGCTGTGCTGCTCCGGGCGCCGCAGCCCGGAGCCCGCGCGAGAAAATCGCTGTGTCCCTGGCCGGCGGAAGGTGGCGCTTTAACACAACAACCTTCTTGTGGCACGTGGGCTCTCTTCTCTTTTTTCCCTTTCTCCCTTTTCTAAAGCAAAGAAATCAGTTTAAAGCCTGAGTCTGAATTCTCCCTCGCCGGTGCATTTTTTGACGTTATTGTTTTGTTTTGCCCTTCTTCTCCGTCTGTTTTCCCTCCCGGGAGYGTTTGGAGACGTCGCCGTGCGGGTTGGGCTGCGCCGCGCCCCCGCACGCCCCGCCCTGGGTGGAGGCCGGAGTAACGGTCTGCGGGTTTGGCCGTAGCCGGGTCCTCGCGTTCAGTCTGGCCTCTGGCAAGGCCGGTTCCGAAGTGGGTCCTGGGACCAGCAGGCTTCAGCAGCCCACCCCCCAGCCCCCTGCGTCACTTGTCAGGGTCTCGCTCTTCCCCCTTTCTCGCTCTCCTCCCCTCGCCGCTCCTCCGCCCCTCCCCCCGACTCCCTTTCTCCTTCCCAGCCCTCCTCTTCCTCTTTGTCCCTCCCCCTTCGTCGCTCACCAACGCCCTCCCCAGCAACCTCGTCCTGAAATCTTGCAGTCGGGAGCTAGCAAGCCTTCTGTGTCGCTTGCTGTTTTAGCTGAGCGACGAAAACCAAAGCTGAAATAAGGTGCACTCGAGTCTGAAGGCAGAACGTTTCTTGTGTGCGTGAAGCGGTGGAGAGGCTGGAAGGGCGGAGTGCGCGGGGTGGATGGTGTCGAGCAGCGCAATCCATGTTGCTAGGTTCCTTCAGAACCCGTTTTCCTTTGTGTTTACTTGGTCCCTCATGCCCATCTATGGCTATTCTCCAAGCAATTAAAAGGAAACCACCGCTTCCTATTGAATGTCTGGTCGTCCCTGTCTTCATCGTACCCCCAGCTTGGTGGTGGGGGTGGGGGTGGGGGGTGGCAACTTGGAGTAGTTCCTAASATTCTGCCCCTGCCTCCCTCCCAGTGGCTCAGGAGAGAAGTCGCTGCACAGGATGAGTAGAATCATCTAAACCTACTTCCTTCCAGGTGTGTCCTTGCAAACAACGCTGCATTTCTTAACTCACGAATTTTTTCTTTCTTTTTTGAGGATTTTAATAACATAAAATGGTACCATGTTTTCGCAGATCATTATTAAAAAAAAAAACCATCACTATGTTTTAAAAGCCTCTTGCGGCATTTATTCTAAAGAAAACTGCCCCCAATACTTGTAATATTCAAGCCAACTGAAATCTCGATAGTGTTGTTGTTTGTTTGTTTTTAAATTTTACTTTCTTTTTTCTTTCTTTCTTTCTTTTTCTTTTTTTCCGCCATTGGAACAGAAAGAATTTAGTCATTCATGCTGGGTGACCTGAAATGTGGAGATGTATAAAACCCAAGGCAGTGTGTGAAAATCCGTCTTCACTCCAGCAAAGCGGGCACTGCATCTTGTTTTACTCTTACCTCACACATTTCCTGGCTGCTGGGAAAGCAGCAGGAGGGAGGGGTGGAGCAAGCCGTGAATCTACCCTCCTCTCTCCCCCACCCCCCAGCACTGGCAAATCCACACTCCGGATAGAGTGCTTCAAGGATTTTAGCTGTGTTCTCTGCATCAGAGTACGAGGGCACCTACCATTTTAGACGCTGACAGAATGCATTTGAAAATGTGGCAAATTCCATAGCCGTTTGCTGCCTTCATTCTGCAGACGGAATCCTGTTGAGCTGTAGAAAGAGAACGATCTGAGGGCTGAGCAATAATGGGTTTTACTCTCATAGTGCCATGATCTTCTCTCTCATCCTCTAGTAGAAGCAAGTGAAAACTCKAGTCTTTCAAGTATGGAACACAATGTCTGTTCAGAGAAACGTGGGCTATTTGTTGAAGAGGATAAAGGCAAATAAGTTGGTTGTTTTTGCCGGGAGAATAGGGACTCAGAATGATAGGTGGAATGACTTGAAGGGGTTTGAGTAAACACAATGCCGGGTTAGGGGTGGAAAGCCGCTTTGCAGGTGCCTGAGGGGTCCTGGAGCAAATTCCCCCACCCCCAAAATAGGCAGCTTTAAGGCAGTCTTCACCAAAGATTAGCTAGGATGCTAYTTTGTAACATGGACCCATCATATGTATTTAATATTATCCAGATTTAGCAAGGACTTGGAATAAGGAAAGAAAAAGAAAATCAAGTAACTAATCTGTATCTTTTGTTGTTGTTCAACAAAAGAAAAAAAAGTTAAATCAGTATGATTTTCTTTAAGAGGAACATTTTTGAAAACTGCATGCTGCATACAGAAACAATGTTTAGTACTGCAGAACAGAGGCTTGCAACATCAGCAGGAGCCATTTAAAGGAATTTCAGGTTAACAAATAGAAAATGTGGCTTTCTTTAATRATTTTTTCCAGTACTGGGGATTGATCCCAAGGCCTCAYACATGTTGAGCAAGTGCTCTACCACTGAGCTACATTCCCAGCCCATTTTACCTTGTTTTCAGATACGGTCTTGATAAATTGCCCAGGCTGCCCTGAAACTTGTGATCCTCTAGCTTCAACCTCCAGAGTGACTGGGATTACAGCTCTGTGCCATCAAGCCCAAAGAATAAGGTGATTCTTGAAGGTTTAATTTGTAAACTAAAAATGCTGAATGAATCAAGATTAGCCCATCAGTCATCTTTTCAGAGCCAATGTGCATACTTCTTTTTTATGTGTATATCTATATACATACCCACCAGAAGAGACGTAGCTTGTCTATTAACAATAACCATTGCTGGGTATATAATTAATGTTTGGAGTCTTAATAGTCACATTTGATTAAAACCACAAATGATTACATTCATRTAGTTGTTATTATCTTTTCAGTGCATCTTCACAAATAACTACTAGCAGGGCTATTACATAAGAGAAGGTATTCTATAAACTCTCAACATTCTGATGACACTTGAGAATTAGTATGAAATTGTTTTTCTCTAAAGAAGAAACACTTGTTAAGAAAATAACATTCTAGAATTATCATGGAGCCAATACTTGACTTATTTAACTGAGCATGTGTTTTAGTCAGCTTTTTCACTGCTGTGACCAAAAGACCTGACCAGAACAACTCTAGAGGAGGAGAAGTTCATTTGGTGCTCATTGTTCTAGAGGTCTCAGTCCATGGAGAGCCAGCTGCATTGCTCTGGACCCCAGGTGAGGAAGAACATCAGGGAGAAGAACAGGGTGGAGGAAAGCAGCTCAGGGTGTGGTGGCCGAGAGAGACGAAGCTAGGTCTGCCAGGGACACCCCCAGGGACCACCTTCTCCAGYCAYACCCCACCTGCCTACGGTCACAACCCAGCTAATCCCACCCGGGATTGATGCATTGATCAGCTCATAACCAACCATTTCACCTCTGAACCTTCCTGCACCTTCGCACACAAGAGCTTTAGGGATGACTCATCTTAGCCGAGACAGCACTGTTGTAAAAGCCTCACAGCCCCTTCCATTTCCCAGTCTTTGAAAGGAGGCCAGGCAGTAGGACCTTGTTCTCCTTCTCTTTAACTGTTCTTGGACTCCTCTGCTTTAGCTGCCTGGATTGACTTCCACGTCAGTCTGGGAGCAGCTCTGAACACCTTCTGTCTGCTAGACTTCCCTACTGAAGGGAAGCTGAACTCGCCCTACACACACACACACACACAGACATACACAGTCTCTAAGCTTTTCTTTCCTAACTTGGGAAACCCTGTCACAACGCACATAGATAAAAATAAAAGTGAGGGTGCATTCTCGACTCTTCACCTCACACACACACTGAAACACTGAGTTCTCCATAATATCTTTGTTTTAGAAGGTTTCTCTTGTTCTGTGTGGTCTGACCTGTGCCTGACTCTGAACATGTGTGGCTCCCTCTTCCCACTGCACTTTAGGGCTTCTAAGTACCTGGAACAGTCTCTCCAGCTGTGTGCACAGGCCCCTCATGGCATCCGGACAGGTGTGCTGAGAGGGGGCTGTGGAGGACCCTGTTGAAGGTGGTGTGTCCTTCACTGGCCCACACACATGCTGACCCACAGTGTCGCCCTGATTTCCTCAGGACACACTTCAATGGCTGAAATAACCTCATTGATTTTTTCAGGCACTTATTCTCTGAATCACTTCACTCGAGATTGTGATCCACTCCAGCAACAGCTGCAGATTGGTCCTGCAAGGGGCCGCGCCCTGAACTTCCTGATTCCATGACTT